TATTGAACATTTAAAGTGGAGTTCTTTTAAAACTTGACATATTTTAAAACTTTGTGTGGTTAATACAACATATTTTATGTTCCTTATAAATATACTGTACATTCTAATATCTTTTGTTTTATAAAGTAGTTTATATTAGAAAACATTTTATTGCGTCTTTTATTCAGTTGCACAAATGAGTAGCATGATCTTTAACTGTCAAAAATTACACGCTAAAAACCTGTCATTCATTTCAGTGTTCCAGAAAGCAAAAATAGGTCTCTTTCACACCTAGTCACACCTAAACCTGCTGATCTTTCTGGCTTATTTGCATATTAGAAATTTACAGGTATGTGTTTTTGGCTGGATTTGAGCTGAACTATGGCATGCTGGCAGATGCCTTTGACACCACTGGTCTGACTGGATAAGCTATTTGGTAAGGCAGCTTTTGGCCGCAGCTCTGAAGTAGATGTTGCTTTAAAAAACTGCATCAAGGAATCTCAGAAGTGATAAGTAAATTAATTAATTAATTAATTAATTAATTAAACGCATTAGATCCTCAGGTAATCACACACAGAATTTAAAACCAAGAGTCTGCAAACTTTTGCTTCTTGAGTGTGCTCTCACTCTCGAGGAACCCGGCTTGCCTTGGCTGAGGTAAGCAAGGGTAAGGGTGATGGCATCTACTGAAGGAGGTATAGCATAACACTGATCTGGCATGTCCAGGGTTCATCTCAGTAAGAAGCACATCACACAGTAAATAGACTCCACTTTAGGGCAAGGGATGCCTCATAAAGGGTTCTCTAACCTAAGTGATGCTATTAACCACCGACCCAGTAGGTCACCTAAGTTTTTCTTCCATGCCCCATCTATAGACACTATGTCGAGATCCAGAGATCTGGGCATGGGTGCCCCCTCCCTGAGAAAGGAGGGCCTTTCCCAAGGGAATTTACCAGGGAGGGCCATCGCTAGAAATGTGAGTTCAGAAACCTAGGTTTGGTTGGGCCAAGGAGACGCAACAAGCAAGATCTGGTCCTCGTTCTCCCTGGCCCTGCACAGGGTCTGTGTGAGCAGGCTCACAGGTGAAAATGCATATAAAGCAAACCCTGGGGTCAGCTGTGAGTCAGTGCATCCAAGTCAAAGGGGTCTTAGACAGGCATGAAGCAACTGGCAATGGGCAGATTGCCAAATCAGCAACCAAATCAGCAATTGCCAAAAAGCAATCAGGGGGCTTCTCCAGAGTGCTCCTATATCACTTGAACCCCACCAAGGAGGAGTCTCCATTCTCCTGGGAGCGCAAACTGCCATGAGAGTCATCATCTGGACAGATGAGCACGCCCGGGAGGGGATTGACAAGCAGTGATTTCAACTGCGCCCATGTGGTTGATATACACTACCACAGCCATGTTGTCCATCCTATTAGCGCAAGTTTCCATCTAGCACTGATTGGAACCAACGAAGAGCGAGAAACACTCCTAACAGCTCCTGGCAATTGATGTGTCATCGCAACCGGGGTCCAATCCATGAACCTACCCCTACTGGAAGCATTTGTCAGAGCGACAGCAGGTCTGGCACTTGTTTTAAGGGCACCCCAGCCTGTAGAAGGCAATGTCTGTCCAGGGACTGAAGGTGCAGCACTAAAGGTGAGACACAATGGGATGATAGCCACCCATGCCCATCTTAGGACCTGATGAAGCCAGTGCTGAAGTGGACTCGTTTGAACAATCCGAGCAACAATACAGCGGCTTTAGATATTATGTGTCCTAAGAGCCTCTCAAAAAACTTCAGTGGGACCTCTGTTTACCTGTTGAACTATTTCAGACAGGACAGCACCAGCCCGGTGTACTCTTTGGTAAGGTGCACTGTCTAAAGATCAATTCCATCTTGAGATAAAATGAGCTCTGCATAGGGGCAAGCCTTCTCTTTTGCCAGTTGACCCGAAGCCCCAGGAGGTCCTGGTGTCACCAAAGTCTTTTCCATTTTAACTAGGTGTTTAGCTGAAGGATTTTTTAGCTTCCACCCTTCTTAGCTTTATATTTGCGTGTGTGTGTATGTGTGTGAACATACCAATTCAGGAGTCAAGTAAGCAGACCAGTTAGACCAGGGTGTCAAAGGCATCTCATTGGGGGATACAAACCTGTAGATTGAAAAAAAAAAAAAAGTGAATGGACCAAAAACACATGATTAGTTAAACGTAATGTGTGAGCCTGCAAGAACTGACTTTGACACCCCTTAAGTTTTAACAGAAAAGAACAAAAAAAAAAAAAACTTGCACACCAATGCTTTCTTGAAGTGAAGTTTTACAAACTAATTTCGAGAGAAGCATGTGATATTCAATTTAATACAATTAATCTTTATTTCTATAGAGCTTTTACAATGTAGATTGTGTCAAAGCAGCTTCACATCGAAGATTATAGTGAATTGATTTGAAGTGTTTGTTAAGTTTTCAGAGATTAAGTTAAGTTAGTTCAGTTCAGTTCAGTGTGGTTTATTATTCTTTGCTGAGGGTCCAAACATTGAAGAGTGATCCATCGATGCGCAGCTCTACAAGTTCCGAGTTATGCAAGCCAGTGGCGACAGCGCCAAGGAAAGATGTTCACCAATTGGCGAAAGTGAAGGATAAAAAACCTTGAGAGAAAGCAGCTTAAGTTGGGCATGACCATATTTCCTATGGCCAAACGTCTTGTGCAGAACTGCAGTCGAGGTGCCGGAGGCTGGAGAATGCTGGACCTCAACAAAGACTCGTCTGTCCCTGGAGTCTCAGAAGAATCAGACGCATGCTCTCTACATCTCCATGACCACCACAGCAGTGGCTCAGGATAATGCCTGGTACAGGATTGTAAAACCTTGGAATCATCTCTTCACAGATCTTGGATCGCATCAGTGGCACTGCATAATCTTTGGGTGGAGGTGGAGATGTATAAATAGATAAATAGAGAATTAAAAAATTAGTGTAGCTGCTGTTCAAAGTATATATAAACGAGAAGCGCAGATCACACTCATGCATCATAACGCTCTGTGAAGCATTGAGTATATGCTTTACTAAAAAGATAGGACTTTAATCTAGTTTTGAACTGCAAGTGTCTGAGCCTCAGACATTATCAGAAAGGCTATTCCAGAGTTTAGAAGCCATAAATCAGAAGACTCAACCTCATTTACTCGACTTTACTATTCCAGGTGCTATCAGAAGCCCTGAGTTTTGAAATCTTAAAGAGCTGGTTGGATTTTTGTGAGACAGGAGGTTGGTTAGATAAACAGGAGCTATATTTTTTAAAGCTTTATACGTAAGAAGCAATATTTTAAAATTAATACGAAACTTAACAGGCAGCCAGAGTAAGGTAGATAAAATTGGGGTGATATGATCATATTCTCTAGACCTGGTAAGAACTCTGGTAGCTGCATTTTGTACTAGCTGAAGTTTATTAATCGATGATGCTGGGCAGCCAGCAAAAAGAGCATTAAAGTAATCCAGGCTAGAAGTCATAAAAGCATGAACTAGCTTTTCTGCATCTAAGATGGATAGGAGACTTTAAAACTTAGCGATATTTCTAAGATGAAAAGTTAGGTTTTGTGACATGGGATATATGATTTTCAAAAGTTAAATTGCTGTTTAATATGACACCCAGATCTTTCATAGTAAAGCTAACGCTAACTTTGTATCCCTCTAATTGCAGGTCGAGTTGTGAGATCTGCTGTGTGCAGGATTTAGGCCCAATACGTTATAATTCTGTTTTGTCTGAGTTTAATATAAGAAAATTTTTTGTCAGTCAGCCTTTAACATCTTTAATACACTCAGTTCGCTTAGTCAGTTCAGACGTCTCATTAGGTTTAGTTGAAATATACAACAGAGTATCATCTGCATAGCAGTGAAAGCTGATCCCATGTCTTCTAATAATGTCTCCCAGGGGTAGCATGTATATGATTAGTCGCGACTGGCCTTTTATCCATAATCAGCAATAATCCAATCAGATTGATTCAAGTTTACAATAAATAGACCTTACTGCTTTTTTTTTTTGTCTTTCGTTTTCCCTGGTTTCTAAAACAGTCCTTCATCAGACATGAACAGCAGTCTGCTCCATTCTACTCTACCTACCAAGTCTAGTGCCATTCACAGTGAGCTACTGAGCAAAACAGTCATGCCAGAAAAGCTATCCATACGCAGTTAAGCAGTCATCGTTACCACCCTGTACACCAGGACACGGTTTCCTAAAGAGCCTGTGTTGAAATAATTAAAGACCCTACTACCCTCTCTTCCCTTTTTCATCTCCTTAATAAATTTCCCTAATATCTTTCTGCCTTTTCCTTCAACCTGGATCATCAGCCTACTGAGTAGTCTCCACCAAAAGGGTTTTGCCACCCCTGATCTAACTGGTTTGCCTTCTTGCTTCTAAAGATGCACATGCAGATGCATACACACACACACACACACACACACACACACACACACACACACACACACACACTCAAAATTCAGTTCCAGCTCTGCCTCAAAACACATACAGCTCACAAGTGAAAAAAATGAAAACATACAGGTTCCTTCAGAAAATACCATTGTTTGTACATTATAATTTTTTGTGTTTAATCAAATGAAACGGAAACAGGGAATATTGTGTTTAGTATAAAACAAAAAAACAATCTTATTATTTACTTATTAACAGCTGTACTGATTCAATATTACATTTGCACTCAACACTATTCAAATCAAGCAACTCAAGCAAGTGCATCCTTCATCTGACTGAGTGAACAGCAAGAACTCTTAAAGGAAAAAGTGTTTGATCATAGAGATACTTTAGACTTGTATAATGCTGAATTGAGCCCCTATTGCGGTCATTATGTACTGCATGCTCTCTTTATAATCAGAAAACTGACTGATGATTACTAATAAAATAAACTTGTTCAGTCATCTCTGGGTTTCCTACTGTAAATACCAAACACATGATGTTGGTGGAGGGAGGAACTTTCGGATTAAAGCAGGAGTATTTAATCTTCACAGGTGGAGGAAATAGCAGTCAGTCATTTAGTCAGTCAGTCAGGACACACCAGAACTGAAGAATGATGTTTAACACAGTTTTCTGTGTGGCTGGAGCTGTACTTCTCAACATTGCAGGTAAATCCATTGATAAATTTATTATAATAACTCTATAATACTATTTATTGCTTAATAACTGACTGAAAAGAATATAGTATTTTCCCAACCTGCCTTTTCTTATATTGTTATTCAATTAAGTCACACTGTTGTTAACAATAATATATATATATATATATACACACACACACACACAGTTGACACACACACAGTTGAGGTCAGAGGTATTAGATTAGATTTTTGTTGATTTTTCTAATATGATTGTTTAATATGATTATCAGTGATTCTGTTATTGCATGTTATTTTTGCTTGTTATTATTTATATGCGATAATGATAATTATATAAGAGAAATTGCAATAAATAACTGAAATGTGTTTATATTTATTTAGCAACATTACACTTACTTTTTTTCTGAAAAAAAATATTTACAGAAAAAACATAATTAAACATAAAAAATAGCAGGTTGTGAATATGAAAAGGAATGTGAATATAGTTATGACAGCAGGGTTATAATTTTTCAGTGCTATTAATTTCATTTTAAACCAGCAAATTAATCACAGTTTCAGCAAAACAAAGAAAAGAAAACAGAGCCTACTTAGAAATTCATAAAAATTATTTATCCAAATATGAATAAAAGGAGCAATTTAAGTTAACTTTGAGATTAAAACTGAAACAAGATTGTAAATCGGCAGTTTATTGAACACGCTTATCTGTAATCTACTGCGCAACACCGAGTAGATGCGCACAGATGGTGTGACCATTCTTCACAGAACCACAGAGGGTGTGACCTCAGTGAAGGCACAAATTTTTTACTCGAGAGCTTTTCGCATCTGGAAATTGTGAAATCCGGATTTGCTGCTCGTCTCCTTTAAAAAAAAGGCGCAGCTCTAGTTGGTGTTGATTGTCCTGTCTCTACAGATTTGGTAAGTGTGTAGGATCAGTGCCCTTTCCTTGTTCATTTAGATGGACAAGTTATAGTTCTGTAGGAGTCCATCTATTAGCCCAATGACGAAACTAACAGCATGGCCGAAGATTTAATGCATGTAAGCCTTTATTAGTGCTTCTGAAAAAAATTTTGTTATTTATTAGAATTTATTTATATTCGTTTTTTTAGCTCCGAATTCAATCTGACTCCAATTTAAATGATCCTAAAATTTAGATTTTATTCTAATTGTAAGAACGGATCACATTCATCATTTATGATTTAATTTAGAGTTTAATTTATATCTAGGGTCCGATATTCTAAATTGTACGTTCATTATGGACCAAACGATGCTCAGAGTTTCACGCCCCGAGTTGGATTGTCTTCTCACCGACAGTATGTCGACACTTTGAAAATAGTCAGAGCATGCAGGATTAACTAATATTCAAATAGGCTGGTTGCATAACGCTCACCTATTCCTAAAAGAATAGATCCTTTAGCCAAGCCCATGCAACTTGCTACTTTCAGGGATTAGATGATTATAAGATCTACATGTTATCAGCTCAGAATGGCTACGTATAATCAAATGCGCCTATCAATCAAATAAGTTATGCCGGACCATAAAGGTAGCGAAGACTCCTCGTAATCTACTAGATACAATGAATTCGGAAAACTCCAGAATTAATCAAAACTTAATTTTTTTTTTTTTTTGTCAGGTAAAATTGTGTTCTGCCAATTACATAATAAAACCATCAGGAACCCAATATAGAGATGAGACTGTAACAATACAACATCCATTAATCAAAGATAAATCAAAGTATTACAGATGCATACCTGACCAGAGAAGTACATTGCAGCATAAGTTTCAGAAATGCTGCAATGGGGTGTCTTTTTACAAGATCCCACCGACCCATACCACATCTTTACCTTATATAATCAAGTCAAAACAAAAAGCCATAAATTCAAGACAATAGAAGTGTCACAGAGACCCCTGCCTAGTGAATTTGAAGACTTAACCATCTCTTAGGAGGGAGAGCTTATGTTAAAGATCTTATCAAAGTCAAAAACCAAATCAACATATACCAGTGAAATATTACTGTAAAATTAAGACCACTTTACCAATCACACTGAGACATTTAAAATGATACCAAACATGAATATAGTGCTGCAGGATACACCATATTAAAACCTTGAACATTTTATGTGAAATGTGCTCTAATCAGTGGTATGTAACATAAGGAAATGTAACATAAGGATCAAGTTGGGGGGCTTGAGGCGAAAGGTGACTTTCTCGCATTACCCCCTGCTGTGGTGTAGTTCTGTTTTTCCAGCCTGTATTTGCATCGTCAACAGCGATTTGAATAGAACAGTTGAAAAGCTGCTTTTCTGATCTTCTTCTCAGATCAGAAAGGCTATTGCTGTATTGCATATCAATTCTTATGGTCTTGTCTCATGAAAATTTCATAACAGTTCTCAGGGTCTGATATTCTGGAATCTTACAGTTTGTATTATCAGCAGTACTCTTTCTGTGTTTAAAGACAGACCTCAGTCAAAATGATTTCTAAGTTACTTAGTTTACGTTAACGCCAATACAATATTATGAACTGAAAGATCTGCTGTAAATGCTGCTCTCTAAGTGTAAACGTTAACACTGCAAGCAAACTATTGCTGACTGTCGTGTTTAATTTTCGCTGCATTTTGTGACAGGATAGTCTACACTATCTCTAGTGTACACTATTTCTGAGCTACCGAGTGCATCTGAGTTACCGAGAAATGCAGAGGTTTTTTTTCTATTATATGACGTGCGGTATCAAACATTCCACCATCATCACATTCATACATTCACTGTCTTTCTCCCCTGCTTGTGTGTTTGTTTTTCCTCGGTGAAAGTCACAGCGTGCCCAAATGGAAAACTCCCATTTTTATTCAAATCCTTCCCTCTTTCCCACTCCCACCTAAACAGAGCTAGACACATCCACTTCCCTGACTTTTTTCAAACTAGGTGTGAAAACACCCTGTTGAAACAAGGGGGGTTTCATAGCCCTTTAAAGAGCCACTGTCATTTATTCTGGAAATAATAGTGTGATTATCTCGAACTCTAAAGTAAATATATTAAGTTCACAGGTTACAGGTAAACACACGAACATTCAGAATCAAAGTTGACATGCAGGACTAATCTTTCTGAACCACATAATCAGCAATGTCTACCAGCCTGTGCTGTCCAATCTTTGGGTCTTCCTTTCATTGGTTATGCAATTTTGATTATGCTGACATTGCAAGAAATTAATAACAACCAAAAAAAATGTCTCTCCTAACAGGCTGTCTGGGTCAGTCAGATGGTAAGTAGTTATTATCTAATGTCATTTCAGTCGAAGTGTTTGGTTGTGAATGTGCTGAAAACAGACAATAGTCAAATCCTCTTTTCTCTCATCAGTCTGTGGTCGAGCGCCTCTCAACACCAAGATTGTTGGTGGACTGAATGCAACAGAAGGGTCTTGGCCCTGGCAGGCCAGCATTAACTTCAAGTCAACAGGACAATTTTTCTGCAGCGGGTCACTAATCAGTGAAAGATGGGTTTTGACAGCTGCTAGCTGCTTTCAGAGGTTTGAAAATACCAAGTTAAATATTATCAGTTTTTAAAAAAGATTCAAGTGTCCAAGTATAATAGTGAATATCTGTGGATTCATTACAGCAAAATTAAATCAATTTGTTTTACAGAATTAATGTGTCTGACGTTGTGATCTACTTGGGACGTCTGACCACAAATGGCTCAAACCCATATGAGATACCCAGGACAGTGATTCAAGTCAGTGTCACCGAAGATATAGCACTTGTCCAGCTCTCTTCCTCCGTGACTTTCACTGATTACATTAGGCCAGTGTGTCTGGCTGCTGCTGGTAGTGTGTTTGTTGACGGGACAGAGAGTTGGGTCACAGGATGGGGCTCGACTAGTTCGACAAGTGAGAACCATTGCTTCAAAATTACACTAAGATTTTGAGCAAATTGAAAAATTTTTATGGGATTCAAACAGATCTGTGTTTTTATTTTGTGTGACAGATGTAATCCTTTCTGATATGCTGAAGGAGGTGGAGGCCCCTATTGTGAACAACATTGAATGCAGTAATATCAATGGAATCACAAATTTAGACAACGTAATATGTGCTGGATTTGTAAATGAGACAGGAAAAGCCCCATGTTGGGTAAGACATTTCATCAGGCACTCTACTACATTTTTATTTCTTTCATATTTAAACACAGACTTTTATTCATTTTTTTTTTATTTATTTCATTATTCAGCTCTATCAAAACACATACAGTACACTGTATTAAAAACAAAACGTAAATTTTTGAGTTCCTGTTTATGTAATAAATGTCTTAATTTTAGCTTAATTGGGTCATTGTGGACTTGAGTCTGTCATTCCCAAAGATGATTTATTGTTGTGTTAGCCAAAAAATAGGCCCTGAATCATATTATGAATATATACATTCTCAAAAATGCATGTAATCTGTCTAATGCCTATATGCAAAATAAAGGTCCTTTAGGATTCTTCCGGAAGAAATTGTATTACATTTACATTTAGTCATTTGGCAGATGCTTAGGACACATGTTCTTAGCCTGGATATAAATAGTTGCTCCGTTTTGTATTATCAATGTTTTTATATATTTATATTATTATCCTCTTTCATTTTTTCTTTAAATGTGCAATTTATCCATGTTACTTTTCATTTCAAACTAAGCAAAATGTGTGTATAATGTGTAATTAATACACCTGACAATTAAGATTTAAGATTACATACTGAGGATTCATTCAATCATTTTCTTGTTGGCTTAGTCCCTTTTATAATCTGGGTTCGCCACAGCGGAATGAACTGCCAACTTATCCAGCAAGTTTTTATGCAGCGGATGCCCTTCCAGCCGCAACCCGTCTCTGGGAAACATCCACACACACACTCATACACTATGTACAATTTAGCCTACCCAATTCACATGTACCACATGTTTTTGGATCGTGGGAGAAACCGGAGCACCCGGAGAAAGCCCACGCGAGTACATGCAAACTCCACACAGATACGCCAACTGAGCCGAAGCTCGAACCAGCGACCTTCTTGCTGTGAGGCGACAGCATTACCTACTGAGCCACTGCTTGGCCTATATATACAGTTTGTCACAAAAGTGAGTACACCCCTCCGATTTCTGCAAATATTCCTCTTTGACTCAATGAATAGTCAGTGTAAAGTGTCTATAGCAGTGTAAATGTATTGTCCTCTCAAAATAACTACAAATGCAGCCAATAATAGCTGAACCCCTGGCAACAAAAGTGAGTACATCTCTAAGTGAAAATGTCAAAATTGAGCACAATTACTCATTTTTCTTTTCCTGTGTCATGTATTTCATAAGTGTTACACTGTCTCGGGTATCCACAGATGGCAGGTGAGTTAAATTTGCTGTACAAGCTCTTTCACTCTCTCAACCAGGCCACTGAAAGTTCAACATTGCACCTCATGGCAAACAACTCTCAGAAGACCTGAAAAACAAATTGTTGCCTTACATAAAGATGACCTAGACTATAAGAAGATAGCCAACACTCTGAAACTGTGCTGCAGCACAGTGGCCAAGACCATCCAGCGCTTTAAGAGGACAGGTTCTTCCCAGAACAGGCCTCGCTATGGTCGGCTAAAGAAGCTGAGTGCACGTTCTCAGTGTCACATCCAAAGATTGTCTTGAATGGAGACAGATGGATGAGTGCTTACAGCATTGCTGCAGAGATAGAAGATATAAGTGGTCAGCCTGTCAGTGCTCAGACCGTTCGCCGCACAATGCATCAAATTAGTCTGCATGGTTGTGGTCCTAGAAGGAAGCCTCTTCTAAAGATGATTCAAGAAAGCTCGCAATCAATTTGCTGCAGACATGCAGGATTACTAGAACCATGTCCTGTGGTCTAAGACCAAGATAAACCCATTGGGTTCAGATGGTGTCAAATGTGTGTGGCGGCAACCAGGTAAGGAGTACAAAGACAAGTGTGTCTTGCCTACCATTAAATATGATGGTGGGAGTGTCATGTTCTGTGGCTGCTTGAGTGTTTCTGGCATTGGGGAGCTACATTTCATTGAGGGAAACATGAATTCTAACATGTACTGTAACATACTGAAGCAGTTCCCTCAGGAAACTGGACTGCAGAGCAGTGTTCCAGCATGACAATAACCCCAAGCACACCTCCAGGACGACCACTGACTTGCTAAAGAGGCTCAGGGTAAAGGTGATGGACTGGCCAAGCATGTCTCCAGACAGAAACCCCACAGAACACCTCTGGGGCATCCTGAAAAGGAAGGTGGAGGAGCACAAGCAGTCAAATGTCCACCACCTACATGATGTTGTGAAGGAGGAGTGGAAGAGAATTTCAGTGTCAACCTGTGAAGCTCTGGTCAACTCCATGTCCAAGAGAATTAAAACCATGCTGGAAAATGATGGTGGCCACACATAATATTAACATTTTACATTTTCACTTAGGGGTGTACTCACTTTTGTTGCCGCTGTTATTGGCTATATTTGTAGTTATTTTGAGAGGACAATAAATTTACACTGCTATACACACTTCACACTGACTACTTTTCATTGTGTCAAAGAGTCATTTCTGCAGTGTTGTCCTAAAAAAAGATAAAATTAAATATTTGCAGAAATGGGAGGGGTGTACTCACTTTTGTGACATACTGTATGTATATATTAACTCAACTTTTTTACTCTTTAACTAGGTGACTCTATAATGAGCCTATAAAATATGGATTATATCAAATGTCTTTCACATGCAGCATCTCATACGCATGACAGTAACAGAGTTATTGTAGAAGTGTAAATTGTGTTTGTCTTTGCAGGAAGATTTTGGAAGCCCACTGGTGACTAGACAGGGCTCCCAGTGGATTCAGTCTGGAGTTGTAGTCTTTACGTTTTGTGGTCAAAATGGCTTTCCTACTCTATATGCCAGAGTGTCTGAATATGAGGAGTGGATCCGCAACTACACCAGCAGCAGTCTGCCTGGATTTCTCTCATATCCCGTCATTTACACTTTCATGAATGAAGGATCAGTCAACGTCCCCTCATTTCTTGTTCTCACATTCTCCATCATCACTCTCTTCATCTCACGCTTCTTTTGAAGACTGAGTTATGATGATTTCTGGGATGTGGTACTATAATTATTACAATACTTCTTATAATTATAATATATACTTCTAGAGCAATTCCTGTTTTTACTTAAGATTAATTATTAGGGAGAGATTTTGTTGGTGTTTAATGTTTTATTTTGAGATTTCTATATCTTTAAAGTTTCTACACATTTTTGTTTTATTTGTTTTATTTTTCCTTCATTCTCTGCGTTTGACAGTTCATTACAAAAGCATATGTTTGCCCTCTTTCTTTTTAGTATAGGTCACAATTCACTGCATTAACAAACCATCAACTAACACCACTATCCTAATAAACCACAAATTAGCTGATTATTAATAGTTACGGTTGAAGTTGGCATGACAATAAGATTATCAGTTATAAATACTAATTAACAGTTAATATCTTAATAATAAACAGGTAATAAGCCAGTAGTCAGCATGAATTGTGATCTAAACTAAAGAGTTACCCTAAAATCACGTTTTACCAGTGGATAATATCAAATGCTAGATTTAAAAACATCAATAGCTCACAAATAATTACCTCCATCATAAGCATCTTTATCCATGCTGTGACCACATATAATCAAATAAGTGTATCAGCAGATGGCGCCATAAATCAAATATATCAAAATATATTTTACCTTTAACTGGCGAGGATCACTCAGTCTTTTTTTGTGTGAGTTTAAAGATTTTTAAGAAATGTATTTTCTTTTTTCTTTGCTTGAGCTCTTTTGCTTGAGCTTTCTTAGATTTTATTGATGTGGGCTGACCCAAGACAGTAAAGTGCTTTATTAAACTTCTACCTAACACACACACACACACACACACACACACACACACACACAAACACACACACAAACACACACACACACACACACACACACACACACACACACACACACACACACACACACACACACACACATATATATATATATATATATATATATATATATTTTTTTTTTTTTTTTTTTTTTTTTTTTTTTTGTGGAGGGACAAATATTAAATCAAGAATACATATTCCACAGACACACATACTATAGCATCCCACACCCAGCTCTTTAACTCAACCTCCTTTGCCTTTATTGATTGACAGCATCTAGAAGTTTCTTGCAGTTTCATCTCACTCCACAGAGGTCGTTGTCGCACTTTAGTTGGAGAACAACTTCCATCGTCATGCTGATGGTACAAACAGTATCATTAAACTCATAATCAATACCTCTCTCTGAAAATTTGAATATGAATGGAGCAACTGGAAACTGTTTTGTGAGACAATAAAAAATATTTACAAATTACTTTATTGATTATTTACTGTTTTATTAAACAGCCTAATATAATTTTGTAAGACTTTTTCAACTCGATAAACTAATAGTGGTACACAGGTTTCCTTCAAGTGGTACATGGACAAATCACTGGATAAATAAAAAAAATTAACACACTTTTACTCCTTTGATGCATACTATAACACTGATGTGATCAAATAGGGTATATGCAGAAGGACTTATCATTAACACAGTTCAAGCGCTTCCAGCAAACTGACATGCCATTACAAAATTCAATGATCGTCATTGCCTGATTGATATACAATATAATGTCGGTCTCAAACCGGACAAAAAGCACTGCATAAATTCCATTGTTCTGCATCATGTCTTTTTTTTATTTTCTTATACTTGTCCTTTTTATTCTTGTTTATGTAAAGCACTTTGAATTGCCACTGTGTATGAAATGTGCTTTATAAATAAACTTGCCTTGTCTTTAAAGTATGAAATTTAAGCTGACTATTTTCAATGGAGTTTCAACCTGCTGCTAGTACAACTGCCAATCATCGATCAATATAGTCTGAGGAATCTCCAGGGGAGAAGCTCAGGCTGTGATTTTCTGCGGATTTTGTTTGATTTGAACGTTTAGAAATGAGACAAAAGAAACAGTTGTTGTTTGTTTATTGGTGATTCCTACACTGTAAAACCTAACAGTCAACTTTAGCAAATTAAATGAGTGTAGTTAACTCAAATTTGACAGAAAGTTTGAACTTAGTGTTGAAGGTAATGAGTTAAATAAATACCTCATTACTTCAACTTAAACAGAGTAAGTTCACAGTCATATAGGGGCGAATACTTATATGGGGGGCGTATGGGTGATGATCACCAGAATGGGGAAGTTAGAGAGTAAAATGAGAAAATATGATACACCGGTGTTTTGGAATATGGAAAAACTGTCTTTTTTTTTTTGTCTTTTTTATTCCTGTTTATGTAAAGCACTTTGAATTGCCACTGTGTATGAATTGTGCTATATAAATAAACTTGCCAACTTGATGCTTCCCCATTCAAGAGGCATTTCTAAGATGGCCGCTGGGTGAAATGACTTGCCCTAAAGGGACTTAAGCTGCGTCCCAAATCGCATACTTATGCGCTATTCTATGCCATTTTTTAGCATAAATAGTGTAAGTAGTGCGTTCACACTGAAAACTCTAAAAATAATAAGTGCACTTTAGATACCCGGATGATGCACTCATTCAGCCAGTAAAATTAAATGTGTAATGATGGACACTTCACACACTCAACGACCGCAGGTTTGCTTACGTAGCGGAAGGGGCGGAGCTATCGGGCGCACATGTTGTATAAATTTATTTATTTTGGATGGTGAAAGCAAAATTCTTCTACGAGAGTGATTATAGCGCCTCCCGATAGAGATTGCGGCAAAACTCACGGCAGGTATTATTTGATAATTCGGCCGTTTACTTCAATGATTTGGCAACCGTCAAACGTCATCAGGGAAACGGTTTGAATTTTAGTAAAAAAACATTAGTGTGCTATTTGGAACGACACTACATACATATACTACCCTGTTGAGTGTGTAAGTGCATAAGTACATAGTGCATGAGTGCATAGTGTATAGTGTGCCATTTGGGACGCAGCTTTAGCGTCAATTTACCAGCATTGCCATGATAGCTTAGTATCATGCACTGTCAGTCTTTGGCCAAGCAAATGGGATGATTTTTGTTGAGAAATCATATATTGCCACATACTTTAGAAAATTGCGTTGGAAATTTTCAAAAACTGAACAATACACTCTGAGTAAATTTACTATCCTTTCGTCATAGGTCTCAATCTCAATTCCTCGAGCGCCGCAGCTCTGCACAGTTTTGCTCCAACCTAGATCAAACACAGCTGACACAATTAATCAAGGTGTCAAGGCTGGACAAAATACACAGACAGATAATGCTCAAACTGAAAAATAAAGTAAAGAACAAAGGCAGTTGCCGTTCACCGACCACCCGCGGGCACGCAGACTGGATTAAAGCAAATAGAAATTCCTCCCTTGGGTCCTTTGGTGATGAGAGGGGTAAAAGAAGCAGTGTGAGAAGATAACCCCTGCAGCAGAGCGAGTGCTGGAGCTGGCGAGCGCAGAGGTGGAGGCCGGATTCAACAGTGTGGTGACTGCGCAGTTCACAGGCAATCACGTTAAGTTATAAATAATGGTGCTGGACTAGACTGGACTGTACAAGACATAACTCACTCAAGGCATTAGGGAATAGCATAGCGTCTGTAAGCTTTAATAAACAACAACCTGGCAAAAAATTATAAGACAGGGCAAGTATATGTAGGGGGACAATCAGATCCAAATAGCAAGAGGTGAGTATTGCGTGTGCGCCAGTGCTGATTGTAAGAGGCAACAGCTGAAACACAACAGATTGAGACATAGGCTGCGTCCGAAACCGCCTACTACTCAGTAGGTACTGCATTTTAATGTAAACGTACTGCTCGGCCGTTAGAAAAGTACGCTCTATACAGTATGAATGTGAAAAGTATGGATGGAATTCGGACGTACTACATCCGCCATTTTGTCATGGTCACGTGACCTACCTGCGTCAGTTGCGTCGCCTCACTTCCATTCAAGATTTCTCTCACAGGGCATTATGGGATAGCGCAGCGTGCATGGGATGCGCACATCAGAATCTCACCAGAAGTAGTAAGTCATCCGGGTACTTCTCGCCTACAAATTTTCAAATTCTATAAATTCGGACATACTACTCTACTCGCATACTGATTTAGCGTACTGTATAGTATGGAAATATGCGATTTCGGACGCAGCCATAGAAGCTCAGATCAAACCTGACCCATGACACAAGGTGTTTATGACTCTTTTAACCACACCAAATAATTGGATCAGCTGTGCTTGATAGAATTGGAGCAAAACTGTGCGGACCTGCGGCCCTTTTGGAATAGGGTATATGCACACAGACATTTGAATTCAGTCTGCCAGCCTCAGGGCTTCCGGTTAATTGTCATCCCGTGCAAAATCACCCCATTTAAGATCTGATTTCTTTTAAAATGGCGATCATCACTGCCTGGCTGAGATTCGATATAAAGTGGGTATCAGATCAAACAAGAAGCACTGCATTAAATTATATTGTTCCGCGCCATGACTTTAAAATATGGAAATTAATTTTACCCCAGTATTTTCAATGGAATTTCTGCACTAGCCTGCCACTAATGATGGCGCCTGCGTTTGTCTCTTTATATCCTTTAACAACCAAATGGATGCTTAAGTCTATTTAACTGAATGTATTTGAATCACATTACAACATCAATGCTGTAAAAGAACCCTGATGAACTTGAAAATAGTCACATAAAGTTTTCACCGGAAGTTCATCATTGGCTGAAAAACACTAGCTGGGCATAAAGTCTATTGAGTCTGAGATCTATGCTTGTTACATTTGTGGCTGTTTTTGCCCCATTGACTTCTATTGTAATGCCATTTTTTGATTGCAAAGCCATGACACCATATAATCATGCATTCTTGATTGTTAGAGATTTTGCCTTTTGGGAAGAGGTCAAATTACGAAACATTAATAATGAAATAAAAACAAAATTGAATAAAAGGCTTATATAATAATAATAACAGCAACAACAACAATAAATTAGTCATGATAACAACTTGTTTTACTAGCTTGAAAAAAATGTGTTTTATAGCTTATATTAGATATTGCAAACATATATGTGAACTGATAAATAGTTTGATAAAGTAGTATACATTTAAATATTCTAAAAGTAGTGGAAAGGTCTAAAGCACAGGTGTCAAACTCAGTTCCAAAAGGGCCGCAGCTCTGCACAGTTTAGTTCCAACCCTAATTAAACACACCTGATCAAACTAATTGAGTTCTTCAGGCTTGTTTGAAACCTACAGGTAAGAGTGTTGGAGCAGGGTTGGAACTAAACTGTGCAGGGCTTCGGCCCTCCAGGAACTGAGTTTGACACCCCTGGTCTAAAGGGTGCCCTCTATAAGACCTTGGCTGAGCCAACAGTTACTGTAGGCTAAAACCACCACTGTTAAATACCTTTCAATAAATGTATAAGTTTCTAAAAACTGAGGTCCTTAGCAGGCTTAATTCCCTGAATGTGATCGCACCATTGCTTTCTATTTCCATCATTCACCTTCCGTTTCCACTACACTCTATCACACATTCATTGCCCTATCTAACACATTTTCTTTCCAGGCATCAGTAGCTATGTTTTCACCTACCTATGTTTATTGGTTAACTGGTTGATGGAAATGCCATGATGTGCATACATTTTGAAAATGCACATAAAAAACATATGCGCATGAGTAG